AACACCCATACGGGAAGGAACAACACCATTTCAGGAAGGGGAACCCCCCCGGGAAGGGGAAACACCATTCAGGGAAGAAAAAACACCCTACCCTCATCAGGCGGCATGCCAGCAGCCAATGCTTCAGCCCGGGTACCGTAGGTCGTGTTTCCAGGACTAGCATACTCACCTTACATCAAGTAAACAAACAAAGTTGCGCTGGGTTTGTCCATCAATCAACAGAATTACTTTGAATGATGAAACGAAACCAAGCCAAACCACGTTTTTCAAATACTTATGTCTGATTGTCATGGCTCCAACGCAATCCAAAACTTGGTGTCTCGCTGTTGCTGAACAAAATAGCACAACTTCTTGCAATACACTGCTGTAGACTCAGGCTCACCCTTTCCAGGTTGTCTTTTCGAATCTTTGCCTTACACTACAAACAACATATCAGCTGCAGTGTTTTGTTTATATGTTTTGTGAATTGCCTTGGCTGATGTCAGCTACAATTCTGCTACCTGAGAAGCTGCAAAATGAAAGCCAGCGTTTTTACTTTCCAGTGTGCTTTCTCAGGCCACCTCCCCCGAACCCCCCTTCTTACTCAGCTGGCGCAGGTATAGATACCCAGGGTAACTACAGTTCAGTTACCAGGTATAGTACTTCCAGTTCCCTTTCCGTCAACCGCTCGATAACCTTTACACATGCACAGCAAACCACAGCTTTGAAGTCTCATTCTTGCGTTGAACCTATATAGGCGTGTAAGAGGTATAGCAACATAGCATTTATACGGACCCAGGGTAGCTACAATTCTGTTGCCAGGTGTCCCACTTCAATTTCCCTACCCTGGGTCCGTGCGCGCGCGCGCGCCTTGCTGGCTCCCGGCTGCCCGCGATTTAGGCGCGCGCGCGGACCCAGGGCAGCTACAAGGCATTTGCCAGGTATATCCAGGGTAGCTGCAACTCAGTTGCCAAGTATAGCGCTGCAACCAACCGAAGACAATTGCATTTCTTAAAAACACAAAAAGCACCTCCAAAACCTTGCTTCCGTGCACCCCTACACACCACCTACTTTCGAGTGTGCTTTCTCAGGCCACCCCCGAACCCCCCTTCTTACTCAGCTGGCGCCTTGCCAGGTATAGATACCCAGGGTAGCTAAAATTCAGTTGCCAGGTATAGTACTTCCAGTTCCCTTTCGGTCAACCGCTCGATAACCTTTACACGTGCACAGCAAACCACAGCTTTGAAGTCTCATTCGTGCTTTGAACTTATATAGGTGTGTAAGAGGTATAGCAACATAGCATCTATACGGACCCAGGGTAGCTACAATTCTGTTCCCAGGTATCGCGCGCATGAGACTTCAAAGCTGCGGATTGCTGCGCGTGTGTAAAGGTTATCGAGCGGTTGATGGAAAGGGAACTTGAAGTACTATACCTGGTAACTGCACTATAGCTGTAGCTACCCTGGGTATCTATACCTGGCAAGGTGCCAACTACACCTTACCATTCAGATGATGCAAATGATGCAAATTGCATTTCTTGCATCACCACCCCTCAAAAATCCAACACAACCTCAAAAAACCTTCCATCCGTGCACCCTCCTCCCCCACCATGTAAGCACAACTCAGCTGGCGCCTTCTACGAAGGCTGGCTTTCGTAATATTACTTTTGTGAGCTACACCCCTCCACAAGTGTCTGCGCTTGAAAACTTGAAAGGCGCAGCTTCTATTCGGATTGTCTCTTGCCAGGCTTCTGGCGTGGTGCGTAGTCGTTTCGTGGTATGCCAGCATCAAGTCGAGGAAGCAGTACTTTTCTGATGGCTTCTTGTTGTTTCTCCGGCGGCAGGTTCATGATCACCTGTCACTGATATAAGTTCTTTGACATAAGTCTTACCTTTGTTGCCCTTGGGCACATTGGCTGGAGGACCAGGAGGAGCCAGCGTGAGTTCATAGTATACCTTCATCTGGCGGCTGGCGATCCGGACTGGTGCAGCTTGCGTCGTCTTGGCATTCTTCCTGAAGAAGCAGGTGGACGCCAACGTGGACACGCCTTCATATGTCTAACAAGTGGACATTCAAACCCTGATTGACACGCTGCGCAAACTCTTCCCATGGCACTGCATCATACCTATATACAGTAATGGATGTTACGGATGTAGTATATATGTAAAGAACAATAACAACAATTTGGATTCCGGCCCTACCTACTAGCATGGCCTCCATTCTACAGGCAATTGCCAACAACCTACTAGCAATGGCCTCCAACCCTGCTAACAACATTTGAGTTTACTGTCCAACAGTTTTCTTTCAGGGAGTGTAGAAAGCTGAAGGATGCTGAAACATCATGAAGAGTCTACTTGAGGATGATGACGCTCTTTTCCATCGAGGCTGAAGTTACCCATCAGCTGCGCCCATAAGCTCGAGTCAAAGGTGGAAGAGACAAACCGCCATAATTGAACATGCAGAGTCTATCTAGCAGTTATGCCGGCCGTTCCCATACACCATTTCCCGGAGGTGGCAGGCATCCCCTGCTTCCTGCACTCTTTAAAATGCTTATTTTCCACAAGGAGATTTCGGCCAAAGCCCATTTCCCGGAGGCGGCGCCCCCTGCTTCCTGCACTCTTTAAAATTATAAGATCGTTTGGACACCGGCGATATGAAGACACCTTACTTGTGGACAGAGGTGTGCAGTTGGGTTTGTTTTTGGAACCAAAAAACCAAAAACAAAAACAACAAACACCACACGACAATTGACCATGTTAGTAGTTTAGTACAGTAGCGGCTTTAAAGGACGTTAATTTACACACTAAACTAGGGGTTTGTGACATGGTGTGTTTCAATAGAGTGTTTCTTAATAGGTACTCGGAGCTAGCAACAAGCAGTTCAAACTGCACATGCTACCAATTGAAATGACAAACTCTGCACAAGTCAAGGTACACCTCATCAAGCCCTTGTTTTGGCCTGACTCAACAGGCTCAACTCGGCATGTCCAGTTTTCTTTGGCTCAGTAACCTGCGGCAGCTCTGATGGATGAATCGAAGCATGTTAAAACCATCGAAATCAAGCACACTCCCGCCAGTCTGCAAAAACACTGTTTTGCCACAGAGTCAGAGCTCTAAAGCTAAACGCACTATATAGGCATTGGCGGCATTGGCATCTTGAAAGACATGCACCTAATGTTGAACGTCTTGTAATACCTCATCCTCACGTTCATACTCCGGATTCTTGCTCGGCTCCTGGCGTGGTGTGTAGTCGTTTCGTGGTATGCCAGCATCAAGTCGAGGAGATTGGACAGGTCAAATCGTTTGAAGTGGTATCTGGTAACCCCTGTGTCATCCAAAATACTTTTAAAAATAACATGTGTAACATTGTGTAACGAACTGGCTTTGTGAGGCATGTTGCTGTAGAAGTACGAGTACTGGTCCAGCGTCGGTGCTGCTCCAGTTTCTTCAAGACGCTTCGCGTCGACAGCCGCCCACACCGCGCACGAACTGCCGAAGTTAGTGTAATGGAAGTAGCCATCTAGGCGCCAGGTTGGGGACAAGTGCAGCCATCTAGGCGCCAGGTTAGCTGTCTTACAGCTGCGTTGGAGCCATCTTGGGGCCAACTTCGTCTACGTTGGGGCCCATAATGGTGATACAACTTCGGCCTTGCCAAAAGGCATCCAAAAAAACACCTCCAAAACGCTCTCCTCAGTGGCCCTGCAGCCGAGCAAGAAGCAACGCAGCAACCACCCCAAAGCACAAAAACTCCTCCAAAACGCTCTCCCCAGTGGCCCTGCAAGCACGACGTAACGAAAGATCATCCAAAAATGTACCTCCAAAGCGCTCTCCCCAGTGGCCCTGCAGCTCAACCATAGCCACGCACGCGCGGACAAAAGGCGCCAGATGGCTGTCTTACTTTTCAAGGACACCTTTCACAACAACATCTCTACTGCAATCATCAACCCTCAGTGCGCGGTAAACACAATGTGCAAACCCTTCACTTTGCGTCAGAACTCCGAGCTGCTCGGAACAGCTCCCAAAAAGAAGCATCATAGCATCAGCCTCATTGCCTTGATCAAAGACTCTTCCGCGCATCCCGTCCATCCCGTCTGCCAAGCGGCATCCGCAAGCGTGTCTGCTGTTCTTCCAGGGTTCTGCAGCTGTTGCACTTGAAGAAGATCATCTTCTGAGGCCTTGGAACTCATCGCGGCGCGCCCCCGTGTCACGGTGTCCGGTGTCCGGTGGTGAAACCGGGCGAAAGCTGTTCGACCGCCCGGTAGTGTCGGGCGCTAGCGGAGCGAGTGGGGTAGTGTGGGTAGTATGTGTTTTCAGATGTATGGATGTGGGGTGAGTAGCAGGTCTCCTTCATCCTTTGATGTCTTTCACCTGTTGATTCATATCTTGAAAGACGAACCATGACCTACACCATGAGTGCCTTACTCAATAATTCATACCTTACGAGTTACTAGTTGAACGTAACATGTCCGACATGGGCACAGTCCACTTGAGGACAGTGGGACGAAAGCGAGGGGTGTGGAAGGATCAAGGGGATGCGGAGGGAGGGCAGCAACGCAACGCTTTTGTGCCACGAGCGCAAAGTGTTGGCTGAGTCAACCGAACACTTAAAAAAAGCATCGACTTTCATATTGTCCTTTCTAGGCATTTGGTATGCTTTCTCACAAGGACGAGGGAGGAGTCGAATAGCCTCTTTTTATTCACTTTACAGGGGGGGGGCCCCGCCTTAGACGTTTCAATCTGCAATTGAAATATAGATTCCTTTGCGAGGGAGGGGGGTGTCAATAAAAAGGGAGGGGGCCCCCCCCCCTCGGCTGACCCCTCCTTTAATTGAAAGAATCAATTAGTTCACTGAACCTTTCCATTTTGAGCCTCACTATATTTCGTAAACAACAACTTCCGCTGAGCTCCTTCTGAGCTCGCTTTCGTGATTTATAGAACCATGTGAAAGACTCGGCTCGAGGCCTTGCCAGAAGTGAGTCTGCGTTTCAGCTGATCCCTCGAGGAGCGTTTTTCTTAGGTGCTATGGACTGGCAGGATCGCCTTGTGGACCCCACCTTCGTGGGATCCAAGACCACCCAGGTTCTTCGAAAGATTGAGGTGTCCCAGGCTGGGGAGTGCTGGAGGAGCCTCGCTCATGGACAGAGATTTTGGGTGCGGTCCGAATCGCCGGCGGCTATCGATGATGTGGTGACTTTTTATGGATGGCTGGTTTGTGGTATGCAGCCTGATGGTTCAGTTTTCATCGAATGCGATGGCGATAGCAAGGTTGTCTTTTGTTACCATGGAGATTCGCATGAGGGAGTCATGGCTAGGAGTGTTGTCTCTCTTTGCTCAGGCCTGGGTGGAATGGACCTGGGGGCCCACAGAGTGGGCTACAATACTAAGGTGATGTGTGATGTGAGTGAGCTTGCAACAAAGAGCCTGAGCATCAATTTCGGTTCGACCGTATGCATCGTTCAGGGAGACCTGCAAGATGAATCGACGATGCGGGCCGTGCACACATGCATTGGGTGCGCTTCCCCCGTCATTGCCGCCGGTTTCCCGTGTCAGCCGTACTCTCGGCTTGGTGACCTACGAGGATTCAGCGACCCAAGGGCGCAAGTGCTGAGCTCGATCTTGAGGATCGGTTGGCTCACACAGTGTGGAGGAATCGTCCTGGAGTGTGTGTCAGGGGCGGGGGAGAGTAGAGAAGTCATCTCCATGTTGAAGGACTTTTGCTCTTTGTTGGGCCTCCAGTCAGTTGATGGCTCTTTGAGGCTTGAGAGGCTTTGGCCCAGTCGCCGCTGCCGTTGGTGGTTTGTTGGCACCCCTGCTGGATGGCCACCTGTGCACTTTCGTGATCTGCCGATAGGTGAGTGGAAGACCATTAAAGACCTCTTTCACTCCTGGCCATTGTGGGGTCATGATGCTGAGAGGAGTCTGGCTTGGGATGACCACGAGACACAGATCTTCAGAAATCCCCAGTATGGCAAAACCGACAGACGACTGCAGATCAATGGTCAAGCACCCACTGCACTACATTCCCAAGGAGCACATTTTCGTCCTTGCCCCTGTGGCTGCAGATCCAAGGGTTTCAGTGAGGACAGATTGTTGAGGGGAGGTGTGCATAGCATCGAGGTGCGTTCGGGGCATGACGTCTCAGTCTCACGACATCCTCACCCAGCTGAGCTTGGCTTTCTGCAAGGGATCGACCTTGGCTACACATATGCCCAGCCACTCAAGGATCAGTTGTGCTTGGTCGGACAAGTGGCGTCCCCTTTTCAGGCCGCTTGGGTCTTTCTGCTGATTGAGGAGTCTAGACCTGATGGTGTGCCGGTCGATGCGGAGGGGGCACTTCTGTTGTTTGCACATGATCTGATATCTCAGCATGATGAGAAGTGGACCTTTGCCCACATGAACGAGCCTGTCAACTGTCAGGTCAGCTGCCTTGGTGAACCTGCAATTACCTTCCGGGCTGATGGCACCGCCAGAGTCGGAGATTTTGTCGCTGCACAAGAAAAGCTGGTCAAGGGTAGTTCTTTGCAAGTCTTCCGCCATGGACGACTGAGCACGCCTGACGATCAACTACAAGCAGGAGATTTCATTTGCTCAGCTAAGGAGGTTGACAAGACGAGTGGAACCATTTCGCTGTCTTTCGCCTGGTGTGGCCGCACAATCACTAGAACATGCGAGGCAGGGACTCGGCTGTTTGAGATTGTCTATGACATCACTGAGGGAGTTGAGTGTGCCGTTTTTCTCTTTGGCAAAGACCTTCGCATCTCCTTGGACACTCCAATCTGGTTTGATAGCCATTTTGAGATCGCCACACTTGTGAGAGGGGGTGGAAAGAAAACACATGCATTGCTCCAGCTTGTTGCCCGTGATCATGAGCTGCAACGTTGGTTTGCTGAGCGTAGAGCCGATGGAACAGTGCACCCAGGGTATGATGCCGGCCTTGATGATGTCACTATGACGTATGCTGCAAGGGCATTGATCCAGGCTGCAGGTACGAAAGACCTCCATTTTGTCGCTCCTCGTATGACCTCCACCTGGCTTGACATGCAGGTAGATGAAGAGCGTGACCTTGTTTGCAATGAGCTCAGCTACTTTGATGGGTCCAGAGTCCTGGCACTGATTGGCCGAGACGGTCATTGGTCTGTTCTGGACTATACCATGCATGATGCTGGTGCTGAAGCCACTTGTGTTGATGGAATTGCTGACCGCCTGAAGCCTGAGGTGCAGGCTGTTGCGAGCATGATTCATGCCACTTTTGGATGTGGGCCCATCAGTCATGTTGCCGCCAGCTGTTTCCAACAGGGCGATGACAACTTTTGTGGAGCCGTAGCCCTGCTGCACATTGGGTGGCGCCTTGGCCTTTGGAACTCATTTGATGAAGGTGATGTGAGAGCTTGGTACTCCATCCTCAGATGGGGTGTTGCCACTGTTTCCTATCGAGGCGGAGGGGGCAAGTCTCAGCTTGACCCACTTGAGGAATGGCTACGCCCCTTTCTTGAGGGCAAGGGAGTCCCACCTGACCTTGTGGCTGATCGCATCCAAGCAGCCGTCAAGGCACTAGGACGAGACAAGATTGAGGAGGCCATTAAATCCAAGAACCCCTGGGCTCAGCTCAAGACCATTGGCAATAGCAAGTCCAGACCCTTCCTGTGGGTGCACTACGATGAATTGCGTCGCCATGTCGAGGACAGGGCCAAGGAGAAATGGGGAGCTTCAGCTGATGTTCCAAAGCGGAAGGGCAGTGGGAAAGGCAAATCCAAGGAGGCCAAGATTGAGTCATTGCTGGAGCCTTCACGTCTCAGTTTGGTGTCAGGCATTTTCTTTGCGAACAGTAAGGAAGTTGCTCAGATTGATGTCTCCGAAGTCCGATCGGGGGCTACTGGCATAGCTTTCTGCCGCTTAGAGTCAGCCATCCCGTACATCGCAGACAAGAAGTCTATCAGCATGAGCCCTTTGATGCTTCTCATCATTGATGGGGACCCTGTTGATGATGACCGCTTGAAGCCCATGACAGTCCCAGCGTGCTACAAGGGCACTGAGGAGCCTGTTCTAGTGAGCTGCAGGGCGCTCCAGCTTGGAGATGTTGAGGTTTGTGAAAAGAATGGTCCCGCCCCTGAGATCGGTGTCCTTCCAACGAGAGTGCTCCGAATCCAGATCTTCCGAGATGAAGTTGAGGACTGGAAATCAGTTTCGCTGAGGCCATTGAAACACCTTACTGACCACATTGGGGCACTCCAGCTCTGTCGAGAGGCAGGATGCGATTGCAAGTGTGGCTGTTTCCATCCTACGGTTGAGGAGAACGGAGCTGAGTCTGCCATCACCGATCGTTGGGGATGGCGATGGGCAAGACTCGATGGACGCAAATGCTCCCAGGCTGACTCTGAGGTCCTCTCACTGTTTCTGAGGGTTCCTGAATCCGCGTTCACCTCTTTGCTGGAAAGCTCAGGACATTGTGGGGTATACGTTGAGCCGCGTCAGACCAATGGTGCTGGCACAGACCCTGCATACTCAGTGATTTGGCTTGGAGGTATGTCAGCAGCACAGGTTCGTCACATTGTGAAGACGGAGGATTGCATCTCTTCAATTGCTCGTCTTGGGACCCGGTTCGGGGTTCGCACTCTTGAGAAGCATGCAGAGTTTGTCCACAAGAAGGTCAGCCCCACCAAGCCGTTCTTGAAGGGCAATATGGCACATGTGTTTCGAGTTGGCCCAGTTCCTGCAGGCTCTCACCGACAAGGCCTCCAGGATGCCTTCAAGCAACATGGGTGGGACATCAAGCCCCTCCACCCTGTCAAAGGTGGCTCTGGCTGTGCATGGGAAGTTGGAGCTCGAGATCATCCGCCAGCACCTGCTCTGCGGCTCTCGAGTGGCTATGTCACGATCACCCATGTCCGCTCCACTGATCAGACGAGAGACAAACCGGTTGTGATCGCCAGCTCCAAGACCCTTCAGCGGATTAAGTCAGATGCTGGACCCTCTCAGTATGAAGCTTCATGGGGCACAGAGGTCAAGTCGAGTGGGGACCCCTGGTCACAATGGCTCCGACAGCGAGAAGGCCCCAGTGGAGTCAACCATGGAACGACTCCCGAGATCGTCTCCAAGATCCAGTCTGTTGAAGAGCGAGTCCGCCATGAAGTCTCCAGCCAGTTGAAGGCTGATCTCAAGGAGCTTGTCAAGGACAGGGATGAGGATATGGGAGAGCAACAGGCGGTGCATGAAGAGCGCTTTGCCCAGCTTGAGGCTGATATCCAGATCCTTCAGCAACAAGGCGCAAGGGTTGAGCAATGGATCCAGGATTCGGAGCAGAAGAGTTCAGAGCAGTCGCAACAGCTCGACAGGGTTGAGGCACAGATCGCAGCCCAGACTGACTTCAGCACACGTCTTGCCCAATCTCTGGAGTCATGTACATCGCAGATTTCCAAACAACATGACCGTATCTCTGAGGTTTCAGGGGAATTGCAGGGACTCAAAGGGGGCATCGAGAAGTCGCTTGAGAATTTATTTAGCAAGCAGACTGCCCAGATTGAATCCATGTTGGCCCAGGACAAGAGCAAGCAACGCTCTCGCTCACGCAGCAAGAGCAACAAGCCCAGCCTGTGACTAGGTCGCGGCGATCCCCCTGCAGGTCGAAGGGGGAAGTCGTCATTTTCAAGGCGGCCTTTTGGATGGTTTTTGTTGCTATGGACAGTTCTGTGTCGAGTTGGGGAGGCGAGTACTCCTGGCCCAGTGCAGCAAGCTCTCGAGGGGGAGGCTGACCCTTTGCTGCGTTCTTCTACCTCAGCGCGGCCCACTGGGACCGTGATTGGCAGTCGGGGTGATGCCTTTGACTCGATCGAGTGCTGCACACAGGCGGTTTTGAGTGATCAGCTGGGTGGTGACCTCTTGCCGGCCTCCTCTACCTCAGCGCAGCTCTTCGAGACTGCGAACCCCGGTCGGAGTGAGCCCCTGGCTTGGTTCTCAGCCGCCCCTGAGGGCCTAGGAGTTGGACGAAATTTTGATCAGGTTGAAGGCTTTGAGGATGGACTTCGATGGTCGCTGGGTAGCCCTGATGGTGCCATTGTGGGTGTGGCTAACCCCTCAGGTGTTGCGGGCAAGTTGGACATCTTCAAATCTTTTTGCCCTGGCTGGTTTGGCGTTTGTGAGACCCAGGCCACATTCCAGATTCAGAGACAATTCAATGCGGCAGTCAGAAATACAGGCAAAGACTTCAAGTTTTCTGCTGTCCATGGTGCCCCTGCGCCTTTTCGGCCGGGATCCAGCGTTGCAGGGAGCTGGACTGGTACGTCCCAGTTTAGCTCATCTCCATTACGACAAGTTCAGATTAGTTGGCCTTCTGATGAGTTCTCCAGTGGACGCCTATGTGTGGCGGCGGGACGATTGCAGGGCATGCCTGCGGTGATTGCCACGGTGTACTTACCGCCGAAAGGCCCGACATACCCTCGGGCGAAGGAATTGGGGGAGGATCTTCTCCGACCGCTGTCCCAAGAGTTGGTTTATGGTCGTAGTGGCTGCAGAGCAATCATTGGGGACTTCAACTGTGCCCCTGGTTCGCTTGTGGCACACCAGCTGTGGCAAGACTGTGGCTGGATTGAAGTTCAAGATGAGATGGCACGGAGGCATGGATTGACCCCTTTCAACACATGCAAGGGTGCTTCAAGGGCAGACCAAATATGGATATCGCCTGAACTGTCACGCTTCTTGACCGATGTGGGTTATGCCGACCTTTTTGCAGACCATCGCTTGTTGGTGGCCAGGTTTGCAGTTCCAAAACATGATGAAATGCAGTGGTTCTGGCAACAACCCCAACGACTTCCTTGGCATGGGGTGAACAAAGAAGACATGCGTGTTTGCTATGAGGCCATGCCCGAGATTGAGAGGAGCTCAGACACCACCTCCACCCTTAGGCAATGGGCAAGAAAGGTTGAAACATCAGCAAGGACGGCGACTTCCTGCCCAGAGGACTTTCCTAATAGTTGCCTTGGACGATGCAGTGTGAAAGCCCCTAGGCTGCGGCAGTGTTCTCTCCAAGTCCCCTCGAACCCTCGGGAGGGTCATTTTGTGATCCAGGACTCTTTCCTTGGTAGGGCAGTTCAATTGTGGTATGCTCAACTCCGGCGGCTTGAGTCTTTGCTGCACAACGTCCGAAGGGGTTCCAACTCGCATGAGGCTGCTGCGGAGAGATCCATTGTATGGCAGCGAATCCTCACTGCCAAGGGATTTCAGAAGAACTTTGCTCGATGGTGGCGCCAAAGGCCGATTAAGTTGCAAGGTGCCCCTGACTGCTTAGACTCATGGCCCCCAGAGACCGGGACCCTAGAGGTCATCGTCAATGACTTCAAGCAGAACTATGACAGATTCTCGTCTTGGCACCGTGATCGTAGACAGCGAGTCATCCAGGCAAAGTGGAAAGAAGGACAGGATTCTTGTTTTCGGGTCGCAAGACCAAATCCCAAGGAACAGCTTGAGACTTTGGTTGACACAGTTGAACAGTGCATTGAGGTTTGTGATGCCAGTCGTCAGCTTGTGCGAGTCAGCTATCCTTTTCCCACAGAGAGAATCCTGAAATGGACATTGAATCAAGTGCCTGCGATTGTACGCTGTGTTGACGGGTTGTATGAGGTTGAGAGTGACCTTGTGCTGTGCGATGGCCAAGTTTTGAGTTGCAAGCTGATTGTTGATGAGATCTCTGTCATCCAAGAGCGCCTGCTTGAACTATGGAATGGGCGATGGGGTCGACACGCTGGGGTGCCTGAGAGCCATTGGCAGCAGATCTGTGACTTTGCCCGCAGGTTTCTTCCTCGTGCTGCCCTTGAACTCCCCCCGGTCTGCTACGAGCAATGGATAGTCTGTGCCAAGGCATTCAAACTCAAGGCAGCCACCGGGCCTGACGGTGTTTCCAGAGAGGACATTCTCTCGTTGCCACGGACAGCAATCGAGGAGCTCCTCAACATCTTCTCCGACATTGAACGGGGGGCCCCATGGCCTGACCAGTGGAGGAGGGCGTTTGTGCACTGCGTTGAGAAATTTGCAGGGGCTGAAGCGGTGTCAGGGTACCGCCCTATTACATTGCTGAGCATTGTCTATAGGTGCTGGGCAAGTGCCAGAACTGGACAGCTGCTGACACATCTGTCACAACTCCGAGCACCACATCAATGTGGGTTCACAAAAGACTGCATGCCTGCTGACATCTGGTTTTGGATTCAGTCAGGTATTGAAGCCGCAGTTGCCAGTGGAGGTTCCCGATGCGGAGTAGTTGCAGATATCATCAAGTGCTATAACTGCATCCCCAGACAGCCCATCTGGCCCATGCTACATGTCCTTGGTGTCCCAACTTTCTTCACAGCATGTTGGAGCAAGTTTTTGAGTGGCTTGCAAAGGAGTTTTGTAGTGAGACAGTCCGTAGGCCCTGAGGCCGAAAGCAGCTGCGGGTTCCCTGAGGGGTGCCCGCTTTCGTGTGCAGCTATGACAGCCCTAGACGTGACATGGCACTGCTATCAGGCCCATTACTGCCCCGGAGCTCGAGCCCTGTCGTTTGTTGACAATTTGGAGGTTGTCGCTTCCCGTCCTGTTGATGCAGTCAGGGGACTTGCCACAATGAAGAGCTTTTGTGACAAGGTCAGTCTCCAATTGGACGATGACAAACTATATGGGTGGGCCACCACTTCCTCAGACCGCAGGAGTCTAGAGGCGGCAGGAGTGCGAACTGTCTTGGAGGCTCGGGACCTCGGTGGTCAGGTGACCTATTGCTCGAAGCACTTTGTTCACGTTGTAGTTGACCGGATTGCAAGTGTGAAACCTTGTTTTGCTGCCCTTCGCAAATCTGGACTCTGCTTGTGGGATAGGAAGAAGTGCATTGTTGGAGCCCTTTGGCCGAAAGGCCTCCACGGCTGCGAAGGTGTCAAGCTCGGAGCCACACACTTCACCTCGCTCCGTGCGGGGGTTATGAGGGCGTGTGGCTGGGACCGCCCAGGCGCATCACCGCTGATACGAGTGAGTCTGATTCATGGGGACAAGCTTGATCCCTTTTTCTACCAGCTTTGGCGATGCTTCTGGATGTTCTGCCGACAGTGCGGACACAATGAGGAGATTCGCTCAGCGTGGCAGGCTTTTTGTTTTGGCGGTAGTGATCGTGCTACACAAGGCCCATTCACGAAGATAACATGTCTGTGCCATGAGCTCGGATGGGTGCTGACATCCTCCTTTCAGTTGTGCTTTCCCGGCGGGCTTGAGATAAATGTGTTGCAATTTCCACTGCAAGGTCTTAGACGATTGCTGCTTTTTTATTGGCGACAGTCAATTGCTTCCAAGCTTGGCGAACGTCGATCTCTGCGGGAGCTTCGGGGCTTTGAGGCTGGACACTCCGAGCTGGTTGATGGCAAGCTTTCTGGTTTTGAGGCCGAGCTCCTGCACAATGTGCGTGATGGCACCTTCTTCACTCGGGACAGCATTGGCAAGTTTGCTGACGGGGGAGATGCATGCCCACATTGCGGTGGGAATGACTCAAGGGAGCATCGCTTCCTGGAGTGTGTTCATTATGCTGACATTAGAGAGAGGCTAGGTTTTGACCATGCTGCATGGTGGGAGTGCCCTGCGCCCCTTGCCTTGCATGGACTATGCGATGTGAGCCCGTTCAAGACCCTCTTTTGGACTGCGCTTGAAAGTCTCCATGAGGTTGAAACCTTTTTCAGCTTTGAGCCACCGGCCGAACGACACCGTCATGTTTTCACTGATGGTTCTGGCACTGACCAGGACATCCCTGACATTGCCTTAGCGGCTTGGGCTGTTGTACATGAAGGGTCTTCGGCAGTGGTAGCTGCCGGGGGGCTTCCCGGTGTGGTTCAAACAGTCCCTAGGGCTGAGGCCTATGCTGTGCTCCAGGCAGTCCGTTGGGCTGTGGCAGAGGAAGACACAACTCATATCTGGTCTGACAGTCTTGGGACGGTTGAGACCTTTCGCAGCGTCCAGGCCGGAGATGGTTTTTCGGCACATCTTGAGAACGCGGACATTTGGAACCAGATTTCTGATGAGCTTGAGTTTTGTGCCGGAACCTTCCGTATACATAAGATCCCTAGCCATAGCCTTGAGGAGGACTGCCAAGGACCTTTTGAAGACTGGTGTAGGGTGAACAACTCCAAGGCCGATAATGCTGCAAAATTTTCAAATGCTTCTAGACCATGCTGGTTTGCCTCTGTCTACGCAAAGCACAGGGAGCATTGGCAGAAAACACACGCCCAGTTTGAACGGATCACTGCATTGCACCTTGAAGTTGCCCGGAGAGACCTAGAAAGCCGAGATGAGCCTTTGCATGTGGTTGAGAATTTGTTTGAAGACTTAGGTGAGGGCCCATTTTTTGATAGAGCTGCACGAAACCTCGATTGTACAGAAACATTTGAAAGTTATGCTGAGGGACTGCCTGTCAGTTGGGCAATGCAGCTGCCTAGAGATGATGTGATCCAGCCAGGGTCTGTCACCGAACTTCTGAGGTTCCTGACTGGACTTGAAGGGTCAAGCAATCGATGGTGTTTGGTTACGTTTCTTGAGCTTGTTGTTATTTTTCGCAGGTTTTTAGGTCAGGATCTTGTTTCGTCGGCTTCGAACCAACCGCCGAATCGATGGACCCAAGTTACTTTGGCAGCGGAACGTCGTGTACTTAAGAAGACGTTCGGAGCTCTCTGTCGGAGCCTGGGTTTTTGGCCGGAGACAGGATGGGTGAACCTTTCTCAGATTGGGGTCACCAGTTGCTGTGAGGCTGTCAGGATTTGTTACCCGATTGATGCTGAGGAGTTTGCTGTTTCCGTTCTGAGAAAGTTTGCCTTGCACAGACCAATAGGTGGAGCTCAGGCGCTGTCGCGCCCGCTGCCATGGTAGGACGCCTCTAGTGGTCTCCGAGTCGCCGCCAAGGCTGCGGCTTCGAACAGTCCGAACGGCAGTGCGCGTATAGAACCATGTGAAACCATAGGACCACCTAAAGACCTGAGGATCATCTTTCAGCTTTCTCTGCCTGAACTACCAGCTCAAATCTCTGCCCCGTCTCTCGACCTCCACGTGTATCGGCGGTAGACGAGGCGCGAGGTGTTCCACCCTCGAAGCCTCATCTCCGACCAGAAGCGCTCCGTGGGATAGACCTTGGAGTGCTTCTGCAGCCAACGTATACGGGGATAAGTCAAGATTTACGGGCCTGTGGTTTAACATGTTAAAAAGGACAGGTGAATCACAAAAATAGAAAATAGGCACAAAAAAGATCAAAAGAGGATCTAAACAAGAACCAAGAAGAAGCCAGGAAAACAAAGAGGAACACCCTGTAACAGTGGATGATGATGGTTATGTTGCAGGCCTTGTTCAAAAAAGATTATACATAACTGTTTACTGACTGTTACAGGTAATAGGACAGACCCAATGTATCTTTGTTTATCTGAGATCTGAACATGAAGACGGTTGAACCAAGGACAAGTTGATCAGACAAACAACAAAGGATGGGGACCCGAATCCGCTGGCTGTCATCCACATGTGTCCAGGGAAACCCTGCAGAGTTTGCTCGAGACTTAAGGAGAAAATCTGGCTTGGTCCAAGGTCCGAAATGATATCAGTATCAGCCAATAATGGGGGGTGTCATGATTGTCCCTCCAAACAAGTTCAATTTGCATAATGTCGGTATAGCACCCATACCCGAGTGAGTACGTAGCTTTGCGCATGCATGATGGAAACCGTCTTAGATGGTCTGAACGATGGTCAGATGGCCCTGTGTCCCAAGGATTGCAGCAGCTGAAGCCATCTCTGGATCCAGCCAGGTGCAAAAATCTTATTACAGCGTCCTTGCTCCGGGGGCCCCTAGTAGTAAGGCCAGGAGCCCTTAGAAGCGTCCTTGCTCCTAGTAAGTATATACTGTAGTCATATGGGGCCGAAGCACCTAGTATTTTCTGCTAGGGCCGATGGCGTACGCCGCCCGGGAGAAGCGCGACTGGATGGCTTCAGCATGTCGATTGGCCATGCCTTGTTCGGGATTCAAAATGATTCAGATCTTTTCAGATCTGCATCTCTTCCAACCGAAAAAAAAAAAAAAAACACACCCAACAACAACAACAACAACAACAACCACAACCACAACCACAACCACAACCACAACAACAACAACAACCACAACCACAACCACAACCACAACCACGACCACCACCACAACAACAACAACAACGAGGACGAGGACGACGACAACGACAACAACAACAACAACAGGGGTCGCCCTCGTTTTGGGGGCTGCTTCTTTTTGGCGCCGTTTGTTGCGCTGAACTGGGCGTTGGGTTTCGGTCCGACCTCCGCACAGGCCTTGCGGTCCAGGTCGCACGTCGGAAGTTGGGCGGAAAGCAGTCGTAGCAGAGCGCGGAAGGGCACTCCAGGCCTCCCAAGGAGTGGGGGAAGGGTTTCTTTGGCCATCGCTACTAGGGTGGAGGCCATCGCTAGTAACTTAGTCGGGTGGAGGCCATCGCGGCCATCGCTGGGTGGGTCTTCCAAAAGAGGTATCCAGTGATCCTTGTTTTCTGGACGCATCACCTGAATCACCTGGGGTACAGGGCCTTCAACCTCTGTTGGTATTGGGAGGGCGAACAAAAAAAACCGTCGGAGTCGTTGTTTTTCTGAATGAGAGGATATGAGAGGGGAAGGATATGGCTCTTTTCTAAGGTACTCACCAACAGATTCGGATCCCCAAGGTCAAGCTGCTGTAGCCAGGGGTGCTTTCAGCTCTAGCACGCTAGCAATCTCATGGGGCACCTGTTACCAGCATCGATTTCCATCCGCTCTGCTCAAACCAGTCTGAGGCTCTGGCAATGGATCAGCATTCCACCCACATCTGCTGCACTTCGATCTTGGCGAACGATCGCAACGACCCAGGTCGGCAACGAGTGCTCGGTGGGCCAGCAGCTGCTTGGTTGGCCAACCTTTTTCGTAATTGTTCTTTCTTTTGGAACTCCTGATTTTAACGATCATGTTGCTGCAACAGGTGACATCAGGTGACACATACATATGCCGAATCGAATCGACTCGTAGGCCGTGAACCGCTGATCCCGGCCGTTCCATGTCGGACCTCTTTCCTGACGAAAGGACGTGGGAGTCTGGGACGCTCGCTCTCGTCGCCACTTAGGCCACTGACTGCAGAGTGAACAGTAGTGCCATGTACACACCTGGCTGGAAAAAAGGAAGCTAAGCTACTAGCTACTGCTAAGCTACTAGCTACTGCTAAGCTAACTAGCTACTGCTAAGCTAACTAGCTAGTGCTAGTTGCATTTCACGGATGCGTCGGGCATGGCACAGCATGGCACAGCTTAGCGTCACATCACAGTATCATTACTTCTATTGGCCAAAGGAGAACATCCTAACATCATCTAACATCCTAAGTCTTTTCAGATGGGATCAAAAAGAAGAAACCTGAAGGAACACTCTGAATTGAAACTCTCATGTTTTTCCTTTCCACATCAAAAGACACCGAAGCATTCGGATGATCCGAAGCCCTCGCAGACCTTGGGATGCCCCTCGTCTTTTCCCCGTGCAAACCCGTGACACCCAGTCGTCATCTGGCGTACCCAGTTCTTCTTCAACTCCCGGGCGTGGGGAGGCAAACACTTCCGATGGTACCTGAAGACGCTCAAGAAACCATGCCCTTGGCTACTAGTGCTTTCTTGTGACTAGTAGTAAGGCCAGGAGCGCCCCGTTCGGTTCGCGTCCGAACGCTCCGTTCGTAGCGATGCAATTTGCTACTACAAGTAGTAGCTTCTTAGTTCAGATGTGAGAAGCCACTGTGGCTTCCGGAGGCGGATCACTAGCAGGAGTTGCAGAAGGCGAAAAAACCCTGAACTTACCGAAGAACAAAAGGCCAACGTCCGCTTTGCACGTGGTGAGCAGCCCTAAGTGTGTGTTTGGTCTATCCAACTTAGGGTTTTTCACCGCTTTCTATTGACATGGAAGATTCAAAACATATTCATCTTTCAGCCCCGCAATCTCAACAGATAGGCGCCTCAAGTCGGTCGTCCGTCTATCAATCTAGACTGTTCCAGGTGCCTTCTTTTTGCAGAATTGGAAGCTATAAGAACAAGAGCGTATTGGAAGAGCATTTCAACCAAACCACCGCTCGCCTTTCTTACCAAGTCCAGCTTGTTTAATGCATCTTAATGCTTTGCTCTTCAATGTTACAACAAGCACTGAACTCGGGCGCACGTCTGGGGACAGCTGGAGCAGAAAATCTCCACCGGATTTCCTTGAGGCTCCTGCACCTGCTCTCAGGCAGAGTAGCAGGTTTCTTTGTTCCTTCTGACGCTGAAAACAACAAAGACAATACAAAGCACAATGTGTGTAACCAACATGCTGTTGTCCTCGGCACCCATAGCACCCAATCGGGGTCAACTTTAATCGTCTTGACACCTCACTTCTTGTTGCTCTGTGCGGCTCATTCCTTAACAAAACGCACCCATGCTGTCGACATGTTGGCTATCCGTTGCGTCAGTTGCACCTCCGACATCCTCTGACATCATTTCATTCACGACAATGCTTCGCCACGTCTGAAAGACTCATTCTGAAACTTGCTCCCCAGCCAAGCTGGTTGCCAACCACAACTCTCAACTCAAGAAACTGGCTGCCAACCCATTAAAACAACTTCCAAATATCTTCAAATATACTGCTGGCCGCAGAAAAAATGGACGTGGCGTTTTTTCATTGCAAATCACAGTACACACACATATATATATAGAGTATACAATTAGGCTTCCAAACTGTTGACTGGCCAAGCAGTCGTCCCCAAGGTCCACCAAAGATCATCCGTCTTCTAACAGAAGACATTCGATACCGACCGTTGCTACCCGGCTGCTACCCCATCCGCATCCCACCCATAAAGACCATCGCGCACTGTCCCTTTTTGAACGTGCATGCGCTACACTTTCCTCATGTATCATAGACAACGATGTCTTCAAGTTACATAGACATGATGCGAAGATCATTGGTATTCTTCCAACTACATGTGGTTTTCAAGGCGTTGGCATCATCTTACCTCAAACCACATGAGCGGTGTCAAAAACCATCCGGAACTTTTATTAAGATTATAAAAACCTTTCGCCAATCCCTTCGCAATGCTTTCGCGGCTGCATGTTTTGCTTTCGCCGACCCACTTCACCCAACAACCTCTTTTGCTAACCCTTTCGCCGAGTTTCTGCTACTTACATCTAAGAAAAATATCAGAAAGGGGAATCATTCCTAATCTGCAACCACTGCTTTCGCCACATCTTCGCGAACCTTTCACCAACCTTTCGCCTGGTTATCAGGAGTCTTTGGATGACATGCTCTGTACTGAAAACCTCTCTCGCCAACCCTTTCGCAATAAAATCCTTTCATCAAAAATTCAGAGCCTTTCTCCAAACCTTTCGCCAAACTTTCCCCAACTGCAGTTTTCCTTTCGCAAAGATTAATAATCTTAAGTCCTACCTAAATTCTTTCATAGCGGTTTATGACGTTGCTCACATCGAATCTACACCTTAAAAGGTTCTTGAGTGGATATGGCTTCTCGGATTGCTTTTTCAGTCCCCGGAGAAGCCCGTCACCTCTGATTTCTGGGGTTTTTCAAACTCCGCTTGGCGGCTGTCGCTAGGCACCATGGGAGGTGGGGGGGGGTTGACACGGTTTGACACGCACAGCCAAACCGTAGGAAGATCTCCAACTCCAGCCGAGCACCCGACCTCCAACTCCTGGACGTGCTTCGATCTGCTACGTTTCCTGGGCTCCTCCCAGGAAAGGTGCGACCAGGTCAGACAGGCGATTCGAGGCGTCTGGAGGCCCAAAGAAGCGTCGATTCAGTGTCTTGAAGCTGGTATTCCGCGAGAATATGTGTATGAACGCATGCAGCCTACTGAGTAAATGAATGATCATTGAGCCTTGACCCTTCAGCATATCATCATATCATGCATTGTGAAACTGAGCAACATGGTCGAGAACAACTCTAATCCAGTTCAATTGAAACAGAAACCATGCCCAAAAAAAGGCATGCTAAAACACACATTGTTTTATATCATGTTATACTTACATACACAATCAATCGAGTTGAAATTGTAGCTAGTTTTTCCTCCAAAGAATGTATGTTCATTTCGGAGAGTCGAGCGGCTTGCGCTCGCTGCCTCACAGCCATCGGTGCACACAAAGCACTTGAGGAAGTGCTTGAGGACGACCTCAAACATACATGCAAACCAACAGGACACCGGTGGAACCTCAGTATATATTGCACTTATATAATTAACTTGATTCTTAAATATCATCTTGGATTTGTGGGAGTGGCCCTCAGTTGCTGGTTGCCCTTGGCTCTGGATCAGGCATGCAACAATGTTAGACTTCTGGTGTGGGTGCACCATCGAACAAATCACGTGAGTTCATCAACAGTTTTGTTTCAACAGTTTTTGTCAAAACAGAAAAACATCAGAAAAAAAGGGTTCTTCTATGTCCTTCTCCAGTCTCACCAGCCTTTGGCCCTGCATCAGCCCTTGCCCTAGGCTGGGCCACCCCACCTTGGGCTTTCGGTTCACAGCAGCCACTGGTGCTTGGAACTCCTCGGCCTCACCGCGGCGGTCACCCAAGCGATCGGACTCATGACGTGGAAAGGTTCGTTTTAGTATGATGACATCGTATTGACATACGTTGCATTGCTTGTCTTTGATTGTTCTGGGAAGCCGCGGAAATGGACAAACCCACGCCAAAAATCAGACTTACCACAGTCTCTTAACCAAGTGACAACCCATCAGTCACACTGAATGTCATGTTTGGTTTGTTGGATGTGAGTGCTTTGGAGTGTTACTCCTTTGTCGCGGCCGTCGCGGCAGGGCGCCACACGAAGGTCTTCGTGGACTTGATGATCCGCCCCGAGGAGCTCCTCTTGCCGACGAGCGGTGCTGAATGGTGAGACGGGCGGAGCGCCCGAAAACACTCGGCGGTTTTGGGTCCGAAACGCCGCCATTGAGGGTGGAGTGCAACAGTTCCAGGTTAATTGATGAAAACCATAAAGAATTCAACAATCATGGGCTCTTGATGGTATAGACATGCTGCTGCTTTCCAATGATTTCCGGCTTTGAAGTTCCTTCCATGATGGCCGTTGAAAGCAAAATCAAATAGCCCCCCGCACCTAGTCTCTTGGCATTCACGGGTATTTCCAGCACGGTCTGTTGTGTTGCAATCGGGGTGTCTAGCATGGTGCACCTGGCCATACACAGTACCACAGCCTGCACTTTTTGGGATCAGAGGTCTAAGAAGTACTCTACTTCAGTGATCCCACCCTGAGAAGCGATTTGGAAAAACGTAGGGCACATGTATTGACAAACAATCCTGACAAACGCTGCCTGACAGTTGTCCTGCTGTGAAAGTCTGACGTACTGTGACACATGGTCCAAGGTCGGTTCTGACATGTGTTCTGCCATGTATCCCGACACCTGTTCTGCCATCAGACCCTCGACTTGTTCCGACGTATGCTCTGACACAGAATCTGGCCTGTGCTTGGCACTCTATCTGGCACATCTTCTGACAGTCTAACTGGCATATCTTCTGACATCCTTTCTGACACATCATCTGGCAGTCTGGCATCGTTGTAAAACTATTCTGACATCTTTGCCGGCTCTACCTGCCGTATACTTTGGCATTCTAGCTGGCATGTATTCTGGCACTCTTTCTGGCACGTCACGTCGTATATCTTCTGACATCCTTTCTGGCATTCTACCTGGCATATCTTACCATTCTTTATGGTGTGCAGGGCCATGCCTGCCCGACTGCGCTCTTTATAGCTTACAGGCCCATGCCTGCCCAGACCAGGCTGCAGCTCCCTATGGTGTGTAGGTCCGTGCGTGCCCAGACTGAGCTGGCAGTCGCTGTGACATGAGGATGTTGCTGAGGACGGAAGAGTGGTACCTTTGTTAAAATCTAAAAAGACCTTCACGCGGCAGTGCGGATGAAACATGTTGTATCATATAGTGTCAGGTTTGTAAATTGGCTTCAACAAGAGATTGAGGTCGCCTCTCATTCTCTGACAAGACTTCCTAACAAAAAGCTCACTTGGAAAACGGCTCTGTACTACCCGACCACAAGGCAACATGTCATACTCATCTAGTAGAAGGAGCCTCATCCTCATCTCACCCCCCTGGACCCCTTCTGCAACGTTTGATGTTTCAGTTTCAGACTCCTTGCGATCGACTCAACCTCCAGATGACTCGGCTGCCGATGACTGGGCGCTCCCTGCCTAGATGACTCTGGTGGCGGCCTAAGATGCCCAAAGGTGGTGGCATCATCTGGCGTCAGTGGTCTAAGCGTCTAAGATGGTGGTCTTTCTATTCATGGCACATGTTGGCATCATTCTCTGACATTTAACGTTCTACGTACTGAGCGTCTTCCATGAAACAACCAAGCAATATCGTATTTTGTTGATTTGCAGGCCACTATGAGCGAACCCTTCCAAGTGGATCTAATATGATCTATATCATTAATGACTTTTAATGATATACACATACATCACCAAGGCATTTCATCCTAATCCCCATGTCAAAGGCAAACAGCACACCCCCATGCCCCATGCTTGTTCTTACAAAATACAGTACAATCATCTTCAGAGTTGCACACGAGTCTTCCGAAGTCTTGTAAACATATGTGAAGTGACCTATATAATATACTGAATTCTATCTCCAAGCCCACAGAGCGATAGAATTCATGCCTTTCTCCACCGCATGACATCCTTGCACAAACGAAGTCTTTCTCCCCATCCAATGGTCATCGGTCATCGGAAGAAAGAAAGTCTGTTGATCCATCCATTCTCCAACTGAGGCACCACACATCTCGCGTTCGGCTCTCTGTGCAGCTGCGCGCCGCTGAAAGACCTGCACCAAGACACGATCTCGGTGAAACCGAGTGATCCGGGTCCCTTAAGGTGTCCATTTTGAGTCCAAGGGGCTTTAAAGGGGTTAGAGGTTAGAGTCAGAGGAGCTTTTGGGACTGGGCTGAGCTTACATTTGAGATTCACATAGCTTCACGTTTGACCTGACAAAAGGTTGGTAACAACAACCACCTCAAAGCCATGGGATCGGTGTGAACATCAAAACAAATAACCGTCAGCTGCACTGTCAGCTGCATATTCAATCCTTTGTAACTGTGTGTACCCGTGACCTTCACTCGCTGAACTCCTGGCGCCTGGTGCTCCAACTCGGGGCTCCTGAGCCCCTCGTCGCTGATGGGCGCAGGGCGCCTCTCTCGCTCCAGCAGCTCCTGGTGCAGAACGGAGGATCCAAACCACTTCGCAAATGACTCTTCCAAACCTGCCCACTGGTGCAAAAGCTCTAGAGACGTGTCTTCCCAGCACCCAATCAACCAGCCCGGTGCGCGCACAAATTTGTGCGCACAAAGAAAGCCCAGCGACCTGCAGGCTGAAATCCTCCAGGCTTTCACCTTGATAGGCCTCCCAAACAGCGCGATGGAAGCGACATGCAAAGGCAAACCTTCCCTTCGCATGAACAAACACGGTAGTTTAGTTGGAAAGAACACCCCGTGACCTTGAGCGCATCATTTGTTCGATCAGAACGCCCCTAATAGCTCTCCAAAGATCTCCAAACAACAACACAAACTTCACGCAAGAGCTACAAGGCCTGGAAAGCACTGGCCCCGTGCTTCAGGAGGTTCGCGATCTGCAAAACGCACTTTTCGGGACTTTGCAATGCTGCAATATGGAAGGTGAAGCAATGCTGCACATGTTTGTTCGGCAAACCCTGTGCATTGGAATGCTTTCTTTACATAAGAACATGCTTGTTCAGGCTGGGAATTGTTGTGTTCTGGCTGTGACCTGGTTGTTCCGCCCTTGGTTGCAGTGTATTGAAACACAATCCATGATTGGCTTGTGAATTAATCGAATGGATTTGTTACTTTCTTTGTGGACAATGTTTCTTGTACTGTCTTGCTTTCAAGCACAAATACTATCAGTTATCCTGTGGGAAGGTGGACTGATGACTGTTTCACGCAAAAACACTGCAACAGGGATCAAGGAGCAGAATGGTAGACTGGAGGTTTCTGAGTTCTTTTTGGGTTTGCCCCAATGTCAACACAAACAAACTAGCTTTCGTGGTACCGTGGTATCTCTTGAGTCCTCCTTGATGACTGCATGATAGCTCAAGTTGAAGTGCTCTCGCCTTTAAACATGAACAATAAGTGGATTGCCTCGGCACCTCTTGGTGCTGCAGGTGCTATCACGACTCAAGCACGTTGCTTGGTTCTTGATGGTTTTCGTAATATATTGTGAATGCTAACTTGCAAAAACATCAAGTCCCTAGTCCTGTGCATACTTCGCTTGCGAGTACACTAAACGCATACTTCTCACGGGAAAACCCATGGTCATGTGTAGTGACTTTAAAAAATAGAAAAACCTTTATATACTTCTGTATTATACAGTGGAGGATTCCGCCAGACAAAAGATCTCATGCGGGGAGAAATCTGCAAAGCATGCATCGCGAATTCAACATGTACCCCTCACCCACCTCCTCCTGGGACAGGGTGTCCTCCGAATCGGCCAGGAATTCCTCTTCCTCTTCGTCCTCCTGTCAGTGCTCACACCATGTGGAGTGTGGGACGTGGCCGGACTGGTTCATACCCTTATCCATGTTGGACTCCTAGTGTAAAACAATGTAAAACGCCTGTCAAAAACCTTTACTTTGTAGTTATATAATACATGTCTGGTCAGTTGAAAAAACCTTCTTCCTTCCTGGAGTCCCTACACGCTCTGTGAAAAACATGTCCACCAATAAAAACGGCCAGTTCCTCTGGCATGGAACGTAAACAGTTCGTACTGAGTCTCACTGAGTCGGTGGGTCTCATTACATGGTTGGTTGGTTGTATGACAAGGTGCAACCGACTCGTACCGGAGACGATCTCCCTTCCGATCTCGTGTGGAGGATTCCAGCAGGACACGGAGACGAGGATTCCAGCCTTCGTGTTGATAATGCATTGCTCCTGCTGGACAAGCTCGGGCTCGAAACAACATCTAACCCTGAATCGAGCTAAACATGCTTTGCTTTTTGTGGCTGTATTTGCTAAAAAGGCGACAGTTAGAGTGTGCGTTTTTTGCACGTGTTGAATGTATTTTAGACAAAACTGTTCTTATGATTGATTTATGTCGTATATTTTTTTGCGATTTCACCTTGAGACTTCATGGTTGTCCTATTCAATTCTGGTTGCTGTCCAATTGAAAAATATAGTAAATTATGATTACAATTACTATCTATTATTATTGTATGTGTTTGCTGTAAACCAAAGTCTTCTGGTGGAAGCCCTCATTGACATCCCATATTGAAAAATACACTGGCAAAAGACCAACCAGGAATGGGAACACTCAAAAATGAGAGCACACAAAGGAGAGGACAACACATATGGCAGCAACACGCGAATGAGCGCACATGGATACATGGGAGCACACATGTAGGTGAGCACACGCACCCAGAGCATTCGAGTCCAACTACCGCACCCGCCAGTTCACAAAGCGCGGCACCTACGAAATCTGGACGAGGTCCCCAAAGTGCTGACCCAAAAATCTGCCGATTGAGGTTCGCAAAGTGCTGGGTTTACCACGAAATCTGCACATATCGAGGTGAAACTGCTGCGCTAGCCCGCACTTGGAGGCTGCCACACCCTTCCAAAGACAACTTCGAGATGCCAAACCGAAGCTTTCGCACGAGTGCTTCCAAATTATAAGAACAAAATGGGCCACCAGTCCAAACTTGCCCGTAACCCCCCAAGGGGTATGTCACTGATTTCCCTTATGATGTGAACTGTTCACAAGGTTGCTATTGGAACATACTGTTCGAGCGGCCAATCCCAGGATTCGACAGGTTCTACCTGGCAAAAAAGAAGAAAAGGATCGGACTTCTGCGGAAACCATCCAGCAAACCATGGCGATCCAAAACAAGAATCGTGCAATCTTTGGCTCGCCTCGTGCCTTCTCCTGTTGAGTTCACTGTTGAGTTCACGACTGATGTCTCATTGGTGTATGTATGATTGAACTGATTGAACTTTGTTAGAGACATTTATCATATCAATCACTCAATCAATTGTAGAGTCCATATAAATTTCTTGGAAAGGGCATTCCTAAAAGATTCCCATATAAAACTAACTACATGACCCAAAACATGATCCCAAAGTCACCCACCCAACCGACCCCGTTTTTTCTCCACCGCGGTTTCAGCACGTTCCCGCGGTTTCCGCCGCCGCTCCATCTGGAGCTTGGAGGTGGCGCGGAGCACCAGACGTTCCTCGATGCCCCACTCCTGGTGAAGCGTCTGGTTGATTGAAAAAAGGTCGTGGTGTCAAAGCAAAACGGGGGATGAGAAAACCAGATATATATATATATAAAATAGATGGGAAAAACAACTAAAATAATTAGATACTGTTCGCAGATTCAGTGGCGATTTGTGCAAAGGAATCTTCATCTGATTGGTTTCAAATTGTGTTTTTGGTTTTCTGGATCCAACAGAACCATTTCCAATGAACTTGGGTCCTGTTTTCATGTTCGGGTTCACCATCTCATCCCATACTCGACATTGACCAATGAATGTCACAGGAAAGCCCCCCCTGCCACAGCATCCATCTACATTCATTTTTCGCATCTTGAAAACAGGGAAAGACTCAGCTGTTCACTTCGTTCTCATTGACCCTTGACCGATTGGTCAGTTGATCATCCGACGTCCCTCACTTCATATTTCGACATCGCCATGGATCAAGGGCCGCGGAGTGGCCCTCCCGGACTCCCACCTGCACCGGACGATGGACATGCACCTGGCCGGCCCAGACGGGGTTGCTCAAAGAAACAGAGAGAGAGAGAGAGTGAGTGGAGTGAGCAGAACTGTGCCAGCACAAATCGAACATTGGCTTTCGTGCAGGACTGGTAGCGTCTACTGGAGTCGAACTAGGAACCACTAGAACTGCAAGAGTGTGCCTGCAAGAGTTTCTTTGACATACTGAGTTTGCACAAAAACATACGAACTTCGCATTGGCCAAGAGAATCAGGAAAAGCTGGGTCTACGAAAAGTAAAGTCATTCCTGCTTTATCGAGAACTGTGCTTGAACTACTGAAGACTGGGATGAATGTTCATCCAATGATTGGAACTGTTCAATCGGATCTTGAAAATCGCAGTTGTACACCAATCCTTTGCAAAGAATAAAGGTTTCATGGTCAACAGTTTTGATTCGTTTTGGATCGTTTTGACTCAAACATTTGTTGGATGGACCCCTCATGGTTTACCATCGGTTTACCATTGGTTTAACACCCATTTGTTGGCAGGTGCCCTCTGGCCTGGCGCGTCTGCCCGATGCGGTGGGCCCGGTCAATGGCCTGGTGGTCCACGTGGGGGTTCCAATCCTGGCGCTGTCCGGTCGCACAAAAGGACAGGGTGGATTGACAGACCAAGAAGTACAAGACCATGGAGGCCATGGAGGTGGATGAATCATTGGACACCTTGCGTGGATTTTTGCATCTTGCATTGGATTGCTGACTTTCGACAGTGACTCTTCGACAGCACATCTTCTTCCAGGTCGCCAAAGGCCTAAGTTAATAAGGGACACTTGTCTTTCAAGCGTAGTGCCAATCGACATTTGACAAGATTTTAAAGACCAATGGAACATTTTTCTTCACAAATTCCAGTGCAAACCGCAACAAACCCACCAAGCCTGTTCGAAGATCACCACATGGTTGGCAGAAGCCAGATTGACCTCACACGACCCTTTTTTTGAAGCGTTGTGCGAGGCGAGTAAAACTACTGGTTTCCTAGCCTACCACAGGAAGGATTGTGACGATGTTCTATAAAAAAAAAGGTATATCAATTCATATCGTAGGACATCGTTCCCCAAACCGTGTGGTCACACTATTGCCGTAAGGGTTCTTACGGCAGTTCAGGCCGGGTGTCTGATCGGTGGTGCGGCTAATCCGTGCGCGGCCGCGGCGAATTCGCTGCTAGTGACGGTGCATATGTTCACCTCGAAATCTTCGAAGTGCAATTCGAGCATCTGCTGGGCTGGAGGGGGTGCTTTCCTCTGCGGTCCTTTTGTGGGGCCGTGCACATTTTCGGCCTTGGTGGTGCGCTTCCGCGAAACCTCGTACTTTGGTGGCGCAAAGTCCACTTTTCCGCCGCAGGACATCGGTGCGGTTGGACTTCGATGTGCAGATTTCGTGGTGGGCTAAGTATTTTGGGGACACCGCGGTCGAAGACCACCGCACGATGATCAGCTGCAGTGAATCGTGACCTTTGGAGATGTGGCTCGTTTTTTCAGAGATGGGCAAAAGTCTCGAGCGAAAACTGCGTTTTGGCATGTTGATGTTGTCTCGAAGTGCTCCTGCTGCAGGGCTGCACGATGTGAATCGTGAAGTGCTCCCTAGATCTCTACCTAGAGACCTCTAGGCCTGTAGATCTCCGACACTCAAACTCGAAATCTCTAGAAACTTGGACATTAGAAACTCAGACCTCCGGATCTAGACCTCCGCACCTCTAGATCTCTCTGGACATATAGGCGTTAGATCTTTCTAGAACTCTAGATCTCTAGACCTTGCCCTTTACATCTTTCTAGACCTCTAGAACTCTAGACCTGTAGATCCTAGGATCGGCCAGAGCGCCAGAACACAACAGTCTCTAGGCCCCTAGGCCTCCATATCTAGAACTTCCCCCTGCTTTCTAGGCCTCCAGATCTCTAGAACTCTGGACCTAGGCATCCAATGCAAGACCTACACTCGTCGGCCCGGATCTAGACCTCACAACTCTGGATGTCCAGACCTCTGGACCTCTGGATCTCCTGAGGCTTCATATCTTGGGGTCTGACCTCAAGGGCTCTAGGCCTCTAGATCTCCACATCTAGATCTCCAGCTGGATGCATATGCGTTCAAATCTTTCTAGGCCTCTACCTTTCCAGAAACCTGTCTCAGACTCTAGTCTAGATCTCTAGACCTGCTTCTGACCTCTAGACCTTAGACCTCTAGACACACTGTTCGGGGTCTCTCGCCGGCATACTTTTTGGAAGATTCCAAGTGGTGTAGCAACAATTGGGCGGAGGGTTCGTTGTGAGACTGCACCGCTTCGTTTTCATCGATCTCCCATTGCGCCCTAATTATTTGGTGGGACTTTGACGTATCCATCCTCAAGACGTTCGGACTGACCCGTACCCCGAAAACCCGTTCAAAACACATTGACCGTTGAGTGGTGGTTGGAATCCTACAAATGGTTCATTCTGTGGAACAGTCCCCGTGGTGCGACCGAGCCACTCCCAAGCCACCCGCGCGTGTGCCAATGAGGTAGACAAAGAGGTCCTGCGCGATGCGAACGACGGAGGTTGCTGGGCATAGACAAAAGTAGAAGCTCAATGTTGGCTCAAAGAACAGGCAAATTTGTACGATCATCCCCGTTTGTCGTTGTTCTGGGAGCTGATCCTTGGTTTGTTGTATGGTTTTGACCCGTGAATGCTGTTCAGCTCCATGTTTTTTTTTCCCTCAATGATGTGTGTGTTTTTTGTTGTGTTGCGCTGACTGCCCGCGCTCCAGCCCATCGCCCGCCGCACCACCACCACCACCAACAACAACAACAGCAACAACAGCAGCAACACTAACCGGTATCCGGTATGGATTGGGGATTGGCACATCTCATCGCCGGTCCGAACGATGATCCTGAGATGATCGCGTGCTTTGAACAAACCGAAATGCGCTTCCTCTGGCAGAAACCAAATCATCAACGTACGACAGCTAACTGGGCTGTGACTAGGGCTGTCCTATAAAAATGGGTTTTAGGATGTTTTAGGTGGTGTTTACTCTGCCTTCACCTCGGAAATACATAAACAAGTTAGCTGTTATACTTCAACCCCCCCGAAGGTCCAGGGCTTCAACCATCCAAAACCAAGTTAAGACATGTTTGGTCCAATCCAATGGCACTTTGTCCTCGTCATGGCTGTTGAAATCCCGCATATCCAGCTCTCGCAGCACTCTTGACGTGGCCTCGTCGGTGACTCCGTCGGTCCAGAGTCGTCCACCGGGCGAGTCGGTCCAAGGGTCCGGGTTTTCCATGAGAGCCCAACAAAGAATGTGAAGTAATCGCTTTGCAGAGGTAAAACTGAAAAACTGAAAAAAAAAAAAAAAAAACACTGGGTTGGTGTGAAGGAAACCACTGGCATGTTAGCTTCCGGCCCGTGTAGTGACCCAAGAGGCTCAGAGGGCCCAAGAGAAACAGGCCATCACCATCCACCTGGCTTTGTAGACACTGTGCCTACCGGTGATTCCAGTTTTGGATAGTTTTGGTTCGTTTGTACTATACTCAAAGTCCGGGACGAACATATGCATGGAAAAATCTCAGTGCAAGCAGCGTGGAAGGTATATGGGTCACCTTATCAGAGCAATCTTGCTCGCTTCTTCGTCAGGTCGTTCAGTGTTCGACCATGGTCTGAACACCATCCAAAGTCCACAGCACGCGGACTCGCATTGGAGAGCGCGTGATTTTCTCACCCCACACTGACGGTTGGATCATGGATCAGTTGATCGACGCATGTGTACAAAAATCAAAGACTCTTCATCCCCATCGAAAGGAATCGGACATGCTGACATTTGCTGAAAAAGACTCCCCAAATGCGAAGCTTCTGGTCTGTTCATGTTCGGTTTCTTCGGCTTTTTCTGAACCCCCAAAAAGGACTCACGTCGCGACTCCAACGTCGGGATACCACGTCGTATCGGCCCCCGAACCCCATCCATGCGCAGCGTCCGCCAGTTTCGATAGGCGCAGTAGGACTGGCCGTGGTGCAGAAGTGCGATTGGAACGGGGTGGAACGGCTGGTTGGAGGGCGGAGGACACCTTTTTTGCCATCAAGCCTGAATAAACAGGAAGTTGGGTCAGCACCAATTATAATTGAGACAGACACAACCTGAGGGCACGGGCTCGTTGGCCCGAGAGTGCATGAGAGGCCTGTTTCGAGACTAATTTGCCAATGAATGAACACCAGGAAGAAGAAGAACCTGAATTGAAACATTGATAAATATGGTAAAGAGTCACAAACTAATCTCAACCTACACTCCTGATGATGCTTGTCAAGCCTAATGGCATAGCTCATAGCTGGTTACAACGTAGTTCCTTCAACTTTTGGCACTGGATCTCATCCCTGCACAAGGGGTCCATATAACCCCTGAAGAACTCGTCCAAATAAGGCAGCTGTGGAGCCAGTGGTAACCGCAACTCCCGGGATGTTGTCTCAACCAGTACGGAGTTGCGCCATCCAAGTGACCCTTCTCATCGTGCTTTGGCCCCATCGAAGTGACTTGCAGCCTTGTACCACCTTGTACCCTTGCCTCAAGTAGGTCCAACGTGCTGATGTACTGGCAGAAGATCAGCACCTTGCGCCAAATGGACCATCAAGTCTGCGGGGCCATTTCTGGAGGTTCACTGCTTCATGTTCATCCCTCTGTGGTTCCTCTACCTGGCCGTTTGGAGATGGCCAGAAGCTGCCCAACGCCGAGTGCAAAGGACTTCATGTGGATAAGAACTCACGGCCGTTGCGATTCTACCTTTCGACCTCGTAGCTTGGAAGTGGTTGAAAACAGAGCCGTAAGAGAAATATGGGTGTCCTGTTAGTTCATTGGAAAAAATGAAGCTGTCGGAATGCGACATTAACAAAGTTGAAGCATGTCAGCATTATAAAAAGACACACGGAGAAATTCTCTCACAAATCAAATCCCTTTGCAGTTTGCTTCGGAATCCCTTCGCAAAGCGCTCCCTTCGCTCAGCTCAGTGGCCTTGTGGGGCTCCGGCGCGGATTCGCTATCTGCAACGGCTCAGGAGGGTTTGGAGCGATTCATCTGCTGAATAATCAGTCACGGCACGGATTCCTGAAATGAACACAAATGTGTTTTGCACAGGAATAGGTGTTTTGCATAGATGAACATATTATATATACATTCATTATTATGTATTCATATTTGTGTACATATTTTTGTAAGGTTATTCATACACTCCCTGCTATATAATCCTGGTGACTCACGGAGTTTTCGTACCCCACCTCTTTGATCTTCGGAAGTTCTCAGACCACCGGTCATCCGAACGAAAACTCACGCCCGCTTTCCCAACCCCATGACCACCATGAACCGACCGGTGAAAACGAACATCTTTCGGACTCGTGAGGCTCGGCGAACGGCGGAAAGCACGGCGACGCGACCGGCGACGCGAGAAGACGGAGGTGTCCTCCGGGCGAACTAAAAGGATACCACAGTATAGCTGAGCCATAGTCATGTGGTGAAAGGCACCCCAGCAGGTGGTTGACTGGTGTTGATGGACGCAACCCACAAACATGAATTGGTAGGAATCTTCCTCTGTGTGTGAAGCCAGGCGATTCGGGTATTCAAGGGGTATCTAGGGAAATCAATTGTCACAGGGATGTTTTTGGTATGATATATAAATATATATATATGAACCTCATCAGAACCTCATCAATTCTCTTCCCTTGAAACGCGACACGAGCGTTCCACCTTGCGTGTTGGGAGGATGTGAAGGACGTTGAATTTGAAGGTGATATCAAGCTTTTCAGGAGGTGTTGAACAACAAAACATGTCTTTGGTAACCACTGGCTTCCTGCACTTGTTTTGGACATTGCATTCAAGCAGTTGTTTTATGTATGATATTAATGCAGAATGGTCTGTCACTAAGGTACTAGTACTGAGATGGTGTGCACTTGCAAATGAGATAAATCAGTATGGTTGCCGATCTTTGATATGGTTGCAGATCTTTGATGCGGACCTCATCGACTTTGGCAAGCTATCCATCTCCAGGTTTGCAGACAGTTTTTGGTCCCTCCTCGTCTTTCAATCCAACCCCCCAAATCAACCCTTGCCAACCCTGGCGCGCTGAGAACCCCCACCATGCTCCTGAAAGTGGAGCCAACATCGTGGGGACACCCCGCGTCATTACAACTTTGGGTCTCTGGTCGGCAGCAACGGGGTTCACTGGGCACGTGGTCCATGGGAACTTCCTGCAGCCAAAAACCATTTCCCAACATGGACATGTGGATACCCCCCAAACCACATAGCAATCACAGAAAATGACAGTATACAAATGTATACAGTATACCGAGTATACCTGCAAAACCAGCTTTTGGGCTTCCATGTCTTTCTCCCAAATCTGCACAGGGTCGTCCGCAAGCTGTCATCCAACCTACCGCAACCGGTGATCGATCTTGAATGCGAACGGAACTCGGTGGTTCACCGCCGGTGCCACGAACTCGTGCGTCCTTCGTCCTGTGCGGCTGCATCTCCTTGGTGTGTCGAGGTCTTTTCATCCATGGCACCCGATCCCGGCAAGACGTCACAAAAAATATGTCGAATCAAAAAGAAGGAGTGACTGCGCCTCTTGAACATGGATTTTTATACTAATTCATTGGATTCAAGAGGCCCAAAAACACCTTTGATCTTTGATTCGATTTGTGTTTGTTGCATGTTTGTTACATGTTAGACACCCGGAAAAGAGATGTCAGCTTGTCTGGAAGAACCTCACCGCAAGTGGACATGTCAAATCCAATCGCGAAGAGCCCCCCCTTCACCCGAGTTCTGGACTGTTTGGTCTTGACCCACACAGGACTTGGGTGACACGAAAACAGCAAACCACCGAGAACGAGCAGGTCTCTTGCTGTCCTGAACCAGTGAAGTTTGACCTACGAAAGGCATACGTAGGTGTGCCTGCCTTTCTGTAGAGAAAACTTGGGCAGGGTGTCCTGAACAAATGACGAGTTCTATCCACCAAATATCTCCCTAATCCGCCCGTTCTACATGTGGTAGAGTGTATGTACAACCTTGTCAACATCTGCCGCCCATCATTCAAGTCGGTTTGCTTCGATGCATGGCATAGACGAAGCATGGCATGTCGCCCACACGTCCAAAAAAAAGAAGAGGGCCGCCCTGCGAATGGCCGAAAAAACCCTGCCAGATGGCGCCCTGAGTCGGACGTCCGTTGTCCTCCACAAATCAGGACGTGGTTTTTTCAGGGTCGTCGGTCCACCGTCCACGGGGACAGAGACTTCTCCTCTCGGTTGAGCAGCACTGTTATGTTCAAGCCTTTCAGAAGGTCCTAGCCGCAAGCTTTAGCCGGAAACATCGAACAGGTTGGACTGGTACGTCGAGACGACTGTATCACCGAAGACACGTGCCTCAATCAATGAACACCACCTACCATGTAAATGGGCACGCACCGTGGCATGTACAACTGATGGATTTAGGGAAACGGGGCACATGACTCTCCATGACTTCAAGAGTCTAGCTGATCTACTTCCACCCAGCGCATTGCCTGAGGGCCCCAACATCCAAGAAGAGCGTCCCAGAGGTACCTGTTTTCAAGCAGCTAGCCCGCAGCAAGAAGCAGCGCAGCTTGGATGCTCGTGCTAGTCGGACCTGCACCTGTAGGGTAAAGCGTGCTTTGGTTCCTCCAAATCGCCAAAGCAACAACCCATCCTGAGAAAGAGGGGCCAATGATCTTGGATCGAAGAAAATAAAAACATTAACAACTTGGGCACAATGCATCTATATAAGCAAAACACCGTTTGCATCATGTTGCATCTAAACCTTCCAATCTCCGCCCCCAAACGCGCTTCAAAACCCAAAGCTGACCGCGTTCGCGTTCGCGTTCGCGTCTTCTTCGGCGCACTCTGCAGCCACGCAGAGGCGCTCTTTCGCTTCTTCTCACCGGACAGTTTGGCCTGCCGGTCCTGACGCAAAAACGAAACTGGGACCGGTCCGGACATGGATGTGGGACATGGATGCTCCTGATTCCTGAATTGGGAATCGGAGAAGGAACTTGCCCTGACAAGAACACCCTTTGACATGAAATGTGTCCCTTACATCTCAGTTGTTGTGGGACATCAGGATATCATACCACTGAGGGGTTTGACTTCTGTCCCTTTCACGGGGTATAAAAGAGGATGCAAATACTATAGACGGAATCACCAAAGTCCTCTGCCCGCCCACACTGCCTCCACAAAACCCGTGTTCCACCCAACCCCAAAAAACGATAAAAAAATTCGCAAACAAACATGTTCCTTCTCTGCCACACGCCTGGCCCTTACCCCTACTCGTTTGTTGATAAGAAACACAAATCACTTCATCGTATTTCACTTCGGTCCAAAGTCTTTTTAAACAGAGAAATCTGGGGATGAGGAACTTTTGCTGCACTGAAAAGTGGCCCCATTGATGCTCTTTGCGGAAACCTTTTTGCGGCGCAGCACGGCTGGGAACGGATCTGACCGAACAGGCTCTTCCCTTCACACATCCAGCACATACCGGGGTTCGAGGCATCGGCCGGGTCCATACCGTCGAACACCGCTCGGCGGGTGGATGTTCCCGAATTCGTGAATTGGGTCGGCGTTCGTGATTTGAAGTATGGTCGGCCGGCCGCTGCTTCTTACGTAATGTAGACTCTTAGAATTAAGAAACCCACCCCATTTGAATTGAACATCCTCTAAACATATGGGGGGTGTATTAACCAAGAGTCTACATTAGCTATACGATGTGAAGAAAACAACTGAACATGTATTTTATACTACCGGCCGATGCAAAACTGGCCGGGCTACCTGTAGTTTAAAAGATTTTAAACGGCATTACCATAAGTTCTCATGTCATCGTGTCACAAGCCAAGTGCAGGCTCTGGCCACCATCAGTATAATTATCCACTTGTGGATGGCTGACACGTATAGGTGTGCCGCCGCCGGACGGGCACTTTTCTTCCGCGCCTCATCCCCAAATTTAACAGAAAAGGACTTTATACGGGTGTGTGTTTTCCAGTGTTCTCGAAAACGTTTGTTTTAGGACTTTGCATGTTGAAGGTGTTCAGACGTTGAGGACGAGACCTCGTAGTTGTTGGTAGGTGCTCGTTGTCTGCTCGTGAGTAGTAGTCTTCCTAGGTCACTGGATCTTGGGGGGGGGTCGAAAAAGAAAGGGAAGGGGGAATGGCCATTACCAGTACTATGGCACATTAGCTTTAGCACTACCATTGCTATTAGCATCAGCATTAGCATTACCATTGGCATGCCCAGTACCATCAGCATTATCATCAGCATCAAGCCCTCACAGGTCAAAGGGTGAATGGCGTTACGATCACAATTGCCATTAGCATTGCCATTGCATTAGCATCACCATTGCTACAGGTCACAGAGTGTGTGGCCTCAACCTCCCACAGATCACAGGGTGACTGGCATCAAGGTCCCACAGCTCATCGGGCGAACGCCATGAGCATCACCATCGCCATTAGCATTGCCACACGTCAGAGGGTGAATGGCCATTACCCCTACCGCTACTATTACCATCAGCATTACAAACGCTTGACTTCTAGTATTCGGACCAGCACTACTAGTCCTACTGATACTACTACTACAACTACTCCTAATACACCAACAACAACAAACTACTACTACTACCACTACCACTACCACTACTACTACTACTACCACCACTACCACTACTACTACTACCACTACTACTACTACTACTACCACCGCTACTACTACTGCTCCTGCTACTACTACTACTGCTACTACTACTACTACTAACTACTACGAACTACTACTACTTACTACTACTTACTACTACTTACTACTACTTACTACT